CCGCAGACACAGAGCTCGCGGGAGCGATTGGGGTTGATCCATACGTCAGGGCGACAATCCGAAGGAAGTCGACGGCGTGCCCTGAATTTGGTAAACTCAAATCGGAGGTGTAGCTCCACCCGCACGTCTACTTCCTTGTGGCACAGCTGTAAGTTATACAGTGAGGAAAGCTTCCGGTGCCGTTGCACCAAGCGCTCAAAGCGCGCTTCGTCATCTGTAGCGCTTTCGCCAGGGGCGAGCACTACAGGTATTGTCAGCATTGCGGGTGCACGAGAGCCACCTCGTTGAGCACTCAGACGAGGGCGATAAGCTTCCAAAGGAAATTCTTGTGGAACCAAGAAACGAGCTCGAAGAGTTGGCCGGGTGTTCGATGATGTGGACGCGTAACGATCGAGTTACCGCGTCCTTCGCTTCCACTGCTGGATTCGCTGGGCGGAAGCCATATTCTACACAAGGGCCTTCTTCGTCATCCCATACGGGAAAAGAGACTCATAGTCGACTACATTCTCAACGAGGCCACTCGGCACTGAAAGCGTGCGCGGAGCGCGACGTATGAGCTCATCGAGCCTAGGATATACATCCCCCGGTGCCGCGGACGCACTGTCCGACATAACACTGCATGCGGGGGACGAAGTTGGGTTCTGCCCGTACTCGCTGTCAGAACCAGCGAGACTTGATGGTTTTCGTGTCGTGGACACAGGGCACATTGAGCAAGAAAGTTGTTAAACTCCAACAAATTGAGTTGCAGTGTATAACGGACACGCGAGCCTCGTTGAAGCAATGATTGATTATAATTGTAAATGTTCTCAATCTTAATGGGGGAGGGTGTAACGGGGTTACACGAACCCTGATAAAAGGGAAGTGTCACACGAGATGTGCATGATGTGACCACACATCAAACAAGAATACGGTACGGGGCTAGGTAGGCAGTAGTTATGCATGTATTTAGATTCTACTATATATATTTAGTATATTTAGGAGAATCTAAACTTTTAACCTTAGGATAAAAATAAAAATAAAAATCAGTTTGGAATTTAAACCGAAGAGTCGATTAGCCTTGGGAAGGCAATA